CTTTTTTCTCTCCCCTTCTTCCTCCCTCCCTCCCAATCCCACTTATTAACATGAAGTTCCCCTCTTCCCCTTTTCTCCCCCAGGCTTATCCTGCTCACAGTGTTCTTGCTCCTGATGTGCGGGATTGGGACCAGCTGTGCCAAGTTCTGCTGCCGTACCAAGCGACCGCTCCGCCAAGCTTTTCCGCCCCACGCTCCCGACCTCACTGTCATCCCCATGGAGCATGACAGCACAGCCCACAGCACCATTACCTGTAAGTAAACAGCGCCCGGGTTCTCCTTTTCTGATGTTTGGGGAAGGCCAGAGTTTTAGGCATGACTTGTGGAGACCAAACTCCATTTCATTTGTTTGGTTCCTAGCTGTTTGAAAAAGCTTCTGATAACCTTAAGAGTATGCATACAAAAGGGGAAAAGTTGGCATGGCGAACTAAGTAGGCTTATCTGGGTCCTTGTTGACAATGCTGGAGTTTCCTGTTCTTGAGGCTGTTGCAGGGAGAGAGTGAATTATTCTTACTATTATTTAGATTTAGAGTCCACCACACTCCAGAGTGATTTAGGTTGTTTTTTTTAAATTATCACTGCATGCTTTGTTAGGGGAGAACCTGTCAAATAAAGGGCTTAAATGAGCCCCACCTTCCCCTTGTTTCTCCATTTTCTCGAGTCTTGCACTAAGTCCTGGTTTATGGCGTCAACCCTAGTTCACCAGCTGCAACTAGCATGTGAAATGTTGAACCAGAGAGTCCCCCCATTCGCAAACCCCTTTCCAGCATCCCAAGATCACATCATAATTTTTCATGTTTTTTTTTTAATAAAAACAAATCTCACCTTTAAACATACGGCCACATAATTCAACGTTGGCCTTTTCAGGTCAATTTTGGCCTCTTGGGGTTATTTTTTCTCAGAATGTCACGATGGGAAAGGGGGTAGTTTGCCTCTTGAATTGGTTCCACCCCTAACTCCTCTGGATAAAGTCCAACTAGGAGGCCCCAACTTATCTAATCAGTTAGCCTCCTGCAACCTGTGGAAGGTTGACAGACTGAGTTGAAACCCATCTCCTCCAACGCTGTCCCTGTTCTAAACCATGGCTTCCGGCCCAGAGTGGCTGGATTAATCCTAAGTCCAAACCACGCGCACCACTTGAAACTGCTTAATGAACCAGTCCTGCTTATCATGTTGACTCAGGAAAGCTTCATCTTTCCGCTTCACTGTTTTGCAGCCTACAGCTCTCTCCAGTATCCTCCCAACGTCTCCGTTTCACTGCCTTTTGGAGACACGGACAGGAACATGGCGTGTCCCCCAGCCTACAGCCTCTATGCCATAGAAATGCCGCCCTCCTACGATGAGGCCATCCGAATGGCCAAGTCTCATCTCGAGACTCCGTCGATGGACCAGAAATCGGACGGCAATGCCTGTGAACCAGCAGCCTCGCAGGAGCAGAACGAAACCCAAACGTTGCCTGAGTCATCTGGAGGCAGCCCCATGGAGGTGCAAGAGAACCCAGGAGGTCCATCTATTTCCTCCCAAGAGCAATCATAGTGGTCTCTTTGAGACGGGAACAGGCGAATATGGACAGAAGTAATGGTGGAGAAAGGAAATATGATCACATGTACTTGGCTACCCTCGCCTTGATGGGCCTCTACCACGATCCGTCTCCAGGATCTCCTCCTGCCATTTCTGATAACATTCCATTTGACATTTCAAGAGAATTGGGCGTGTCTTAATTATCCAAGCTGAAAAATAAAGCTTTTGGAGTAGCACAGCCACCCTTTGGGGGTTAACTGCCTTGAGTGCATTGGACATAACAGAAAATAGCTGGCTTCTGGACTTAAAGGGGGTCGAAAGGTCTGTCTTCTGCACCTTGCAGCTGGGAAAAAAAAATGAGAGCAAGTACAAATTAATCTCTCTTCTGGGAAGACTGGACTTTCTAGCAAATTGCTGAAATATGGGATTCGTTGCTATGTAACGGCCAAGCTTGGACCCAGAGCCTGTTTTTAATTTTTCCTATTTTCTCTTTCAATAGACTGGGCAATGGAGTCATGGTTACTAAGGTGGAAACCCTTTCAGAAAGGCCAAATCATTTGTTGATCCTAATTCAAACCGGAATGTGGTTTCCCAGTTTCTGCTGCCTGATTCCTTGCCTCCTCCAAGAACAATTGCTGTGTCCAATTGGAATGTAAAATATATGTTGGGATATTAGCACATCTGCTGTGGATTTGCAGAATAATGTAATCGTTTGCCAAGAGGCCGTTGATTTCTTACTTTTCATCTAGCAGTATTCTGCTGGACCACGAAGTGTTTTTTGTATTTTAGGTACTCTTCTTAAAAAATAACGTCTATGTTTATATCTGTGTGTGCGTGTTTGTATATATAGAAGCTCAGCATATTGGGAGAATTCTGATATCAATGTCCCCCAGGTTAGTTTTCTCCCACTGATCTAATTTTTCATAGATAATCGGCAGAAATTTTGGAACGAATCTGAAATAGTCTCTAATAATACTAGTAACCTTTCAGAAATTTGTGTGTTCTGTTGTTTCTTTCTGTTTGAATCATTCATTGCCCCTGGAGAGCCCCTGTTTCACAGCCCAAACTCCTGCTGGTGCTGGAGGTTCCTCCTTGTAAGGTAGAGGAGAAAAATTCCTAGCCTTGTGACTTGTTTAGCCCTGGCATTTTCGAGGGCTGGAGGTAAAGAAATAATAACTAACTACTCATCTCTTTGGGAAACGTTTCTTTCTCATCTCAACTCTCCTGACTTTTGCAGAAAACAGTAATGTAACCAAAAGGTGCGTCGATTTAAAACAGAAGTGGCTGGGTTGAAGCCATAATCCTGGTTTAATACCAAAATGGCAGCTTTACACAACCCACTGAGCCAGCACCTAGCAAACCAGGTTACAATTTAGCAGAAGACCCGATGTTTCAGTTGAGCATCTCCTGGGGAGCTTAGAAGCACACACAGCCTGGAAAGTACCAAATTTACCCCATTTTTTTCTGAAACCTCGTTTGTTGAATTTGACCCAAGCTTTATTGATCAGACTGCTCGACGAGGGTAAAGCGTCCAGTTCTGGCTTGTCCCGAATGTAGCTGGAGGTTGAAATCACGTAGACTCAGCTCAAGAAGGAAGATTTGTCTCACGGCTCTCTCAGCTTAAGGACTCTCGATGTTGCCAAGGCTGTGATTTTGCGTGTTGCTGTTTGACGTCCAGGTTCTGCCACGATTACCCATTTGGCATCTTGGCATCATCGAAGGGAGAGAAAGCAGACAGAGGTGAACCGAAAAGTTTCTTGAAGGTCTTACTGGGTCAGTTTGAAGGATTCACCCGTCATCATGGCCACGAATTCTAGGAAGGGAAAACAGATGTATTGCACGAAGGTAGAAGTGTGTCTTTTTTTCCCTTCCTCCCTTCCCTTCACCCCCCAAACAGGATGACAGGATGCTGCAAAAGCTGATACTCAGCAGAATGGGCCATTTTTCCATTCAGGACTAGCCCTTTTGTTGGGCAAAGCGAGACAACATGTGGCCAATGTAGTGGAGCAGCTGTGAGGTCCTGGAAGACTGAATTATGAACTGCAGGTGACCCAGATCTCCACGCAACCTTGTTCACCTTCCGTGGGGTGGAGATAGGATTTTATGTGTAGAGGCAGAACAGATGACCTCCAGAGTCTCTTACAATACTGTGATCAGATGATCAGTTAGGCTGTGCCCAGTGTTTCCAAGTGGGTCATGGAAATATTGGGGTGGGGGAATTGTGCATACTCCTGCGAAATCAGCCTGTGTTGCACGCCCTCTGATGAACAAACCCAAAGTTAAGAGTAGCATGAAATCCAATTGTAAAGAAGCGAAAATCCTCCCACCACCACCTCCATTTGAAATCTCAGGACAAGCTTCAGAGGGTCCGGGGGCGTTCAAGCCAATGTGTTTGTTGCAAAATAAATAAATGCTGTTTTTTGCTGGGGATAAATTGGAGTTATTATCCAAATGGCATCTTCTAGTGGACGATCTGAGGAAGTGCGAGCCTCTTTGCTCTCATGCTTTCCCAGTAAGTTCCAGGAAGGTTGGAAATTCATCTCCCAAAGTTTCCCAGCTTTTAACCAGGCTGCTGGGGAATTCTGGGATTTGACCTCTTGTGGGGAAGACCATTCTGTGTCTTTGCATAAGATAAAACATGCAATTAAGCCACTTGTTTATGGCAAACAGAGGCAGATAACTTGGTTTCATTTGTGACTCTTATTTTTAAAACTAAAGTCTACAAGCGGAGCTCGATGCAAAGATGGAGCTGGAAGATGGAGCTAAGTTTAAAATGGAGGAGCAAATGTGCAGCATTAACAGTTTCTCACGATAACCAGCAGTACAACAGGCCAACATCTAAATTCCTCCAGAAGAAGAGATTCTAACAGGCAGTTTGGAGAAGTAAGAGCTTTTAATTCTTAACTAACTGGGGGGGGGGGGG